AGGCATGTCATGTTCAAGTATCAGCATATATATATATATATATATATATATATATATATATATATATATATATATATATATATATATATATATATATCATATGCAATCACACCGAGGTCGACGGCCCGCTCCAACAGAATTAAAATGTGCACTGCCGAGGGTCGAATGGCACGAACCATAGATGCATCTATTCTCACCGAGGCGATCGGCTTGATCCATAAATATCAAGAAAACATCAAGAATGCATACGAAGGTTCATAAATATACCAGGAAGCTCTTACCAAGGCTTAACAAGTTCATACGTTCACTTCGCATTTCCTTTTAAGTCTGTAGCATATCATGAATGATCATAGTGACAATTTAAATAAGAGATACTTTCAAATTAGGCATGATGTGGGTCCAAACTACCCATACAATTAATATCATAGTAGCTACGCACGGACTCTCGTCACCTAGTACGTACGTAGCCCCCGCATTTAGCAACAAATATTCAGTTATTACACCTATTGGGACAATTCCCTCTTACAAGGTTAGAAAGGAGACTCACCTCGCTCCAAAGCGCGCTCCCAATATCGAGAACAAGACCAAGCTCTTAATTCGAAGCCGAACGATCACAAACTAGTTTAAATAGGTAAGAACTAGTCAATAAAGGCTTAAAAGGTCGAATCCTAACTATTTAAGTAATTTCCCAACCTTTTCCACAAGTTTTCTAAAATTCGATCCCGGGCCCACGTGTCCGGATTACGATATTTTTCAAAGGAAAATGTTCTCTACAACCTAACGATCAATAATATATAAATTCTAGTCCATTTCATAACAAATTCCATGCTTAAGTCTTAATTTTATCAAAACCCTAGGTCTAGCTCTAACCCCTTTGATTTTTATCTAATTTTTAGTATTTAATCTACCTAATATACATGTATTTAAACTAATAATGAATGGGAGTAACTTACCTTGAAGTGCTATGTTGAAACCCTCTCTTTGGAAGCCTCCCTAATCGCCTAAGTGTGGAGTAAGAAATGAAAAATGGCCTTTGAGTTCGAATTAAATGAACTCTCTGCCCAGCGATTTTCGCTTCTGCGGTGCTAGGACCGCTTCTGCGGAAATCGCTTCTGCGGAAATAGGACCGCTTTTGCGGAAATGGCCCAAGAAGCCTGGACCACTTCTGCGGTCAGGTGCCCGCTTTTGCGGGTCCGCTTCTGCGGATTTCGAGCCGTTTCTGCGGATTTGGGCCTAAGGAGCTGGACCGCTTCTGCGGTTTCCCCTTGGCCTGGCCCTTTCCACTTTTATGATGAGCTGACCGCATCTGCGGTACCGCTTCTGCGGTTCAAGAACCGCAGATGCGGTTATGACAGAAGCAGCAACTTCAGCTCTTCTTCAATTTTCTTACTTAGCTCAAACCTCGCTCGTTTGACGCTCGGGGCTCCCGAGCCCCGCCCGAACACACCGAAAAGTCTGAAATTACGAGGCGGACCTACTCGAACCCTTGGATCACTCAAAACAACGCTAAATCTTGGAATCACCCCCTAAAACTAAATGAATCAAACTATTGAATCTTCAAGTTTTTATTTCTCCTCTAATGGGTCAAAACGCCCTTAAACTACTCAGATTGATACCAAATTTCACGGGCAAGTCTTAAATGACATTACGGACCTGTACCAAGCTTCGGAACCAAAATCCGAGCCCGATACCTAGGGAATCAATAATTTCTTAGTTTCTTTAGTTCTTTAAAGCTTTAATTAAACAATTTTAAACAAAAATTCATTACTCGGGCTAGGGACCTCGGAATTTGATTCCGGGCATACGCCCAGGTCCCATATTTTCCTACGGACCCCCAGAAATTACCAAATCACAAATCCGGGTCCGTTTCCCAAGAAAGTTGACCGAAGTAAAACTTGGCCTTTTAAGAAATTCTTAAAGAAACAATTAGGCATTTTTCACTCAAAAACTCTTCTAACTCCCGAACCGACCGCCCCCGCAAGTCGTAGATTAGTTAAGGCAAGTACGGGAGGCTTTATTTAGGGAAACAGGGTTCTAAAAGGCAAAACGACCGGTCGGGTCGTTACATTTAGTTTTTTCTGTCTGTCATCAGCTGTCTTCTCCTTTGCGTTTGGTGCTTGCTGAGTTGAGGTTGCTGCTGCCGAGAACTGCAATCTTCGGTGTACCATTAATTCCTCCACTCTCAGATTTGCTTGTTTTGCATGCACTTCAATCCCTTTGGTATCTGTCTCGTCGTTCTCCTTTTCCTCCAGGATAGGCTGAAATTTCTGTGGTAGAAAGCTACCAAAAGTCAATGGTTGTAGTCCTGTGGCCGGCGTATTCTTCGAGTCCTTTTCTGTCGATGGATTGTGCTGAATAATTGTTGGTGCACTATCCATACCAGTGAGCTAACGCCCCATTTGCGAAGGGCAGGTGTTTCCATGGTTTCTTCATCCCCTTGATTAGGGCTTGGAAGCTTCTTGCGTTGCTTTGTCATGGCGGATGGCGTACGTTGGTTATCCTCGCTAATCGTGCCCCTAATCTCTTCACTTCTAATTTACTTACAGTGTAACCTTGTATCAGAAAAGATGAGAGAAGGAGTCAATTCAAGTTAGTTTTTTAATTTTCTGGTTTAATAAATAATTTAAATTAACTGCCCAAAAAATACGGGATTCCATATTATAGTTAATTGCGGAAGGTTTAAAATTTTGTACCAATGTTTATTATGCCCGCGTTTGGGAATACGATCGTGAATGTTTTTTTCCCTTTCTTCCTATTTCTATATAAAATTCTTTGTAAAAAATTTTTGTATTCAAATTTTCAGGTTTATAACAAATTAAATAAAAAACTAATGAAAAAACGCGGGAGTCTATCTTTTTGAATAGACGAGTGTGGAGTGTTTTTTTATTATTGTTTTTATGTAAAATTCTATGCCAAAAAAAATTGACGAATTTGTAGGTTTATAATAAATTAACTAAAAAACTAATGAAAAACGTGGGAGTTATATTTTGGAATTGGAGTAGTTATATTTTTGTTGCTTTCAGAGTTTCATTTTTAAAAAGTATCTGCCTAAAAACATGGGACTCCACGATGTTGAATAACTGAATTGGTTAATTATTTAAATTCTGTATTTTTTTCTTTTTAATTTTTTTTGAATCTCCAAATTTATTGGAGCTTTGTCCTAAAACATGACACATGTTGATATTTCGTTTTGACACTTGGCATAATATTATGGATCTGCTTCTCCTTTTATATATTAATAGATATATTATTTAAAATAATTTAAAAACTCAAACTTGAAACTACTTTCCAATTTGAATGGGCAATTTTTTTTTAATTTTCATTTTTTATTATAAAATATTTTATTTTACTATTTTATAGTTATTTAAATTCAAAAACAATAACAAATAAGTAATTATTAACTAAATAACTTATTATTAACTACTTATGCCATGTAGCTTTTTCTAGGCTGCCATTTGGCTTAAGGAGAGTGCTTTTTCCTCAACTTTTAATAATATATAGATAGATATTTAGTATTATTGATAGAAGCTTTATTAGCATATTGCTTTATTTAAATTTTTTGTATGCTACTTTCTTTTTATAATATAACAGAAGATACATATTTTTTTATTTTTTATTTTATTCTATTGTTCTCAATAATATTTTTTGAATAAATAAACTTTTTATTTTTAAAAAGAAAAAAGTTATTAAAAAAGCAAAGATATTTTTAAATCGGCTTTTTTTTTTGTAATGTACCTTTTTAGTTTAAAATAATTTAAAAACTCCAACTTGAAACAACTTTCCAATTTGAATGGATAGTTTTTTAAAAAAAAATTCGTTTTTATTATAATGTTTTATTATCTTATAGATATTTAAATTCAAAAATAATAATCAATAGCTAATTATTAACCAAATAACTAATTATTAACATGTGGCTTTTTTCTAGACTGTCACTTGGCTTAAGGAGAGGTCCTTTTCCTCTATTTTTAATAATAATATAGATATTATTAATAATATATAGATAGCCTGCCTTGTTAAAAGTGTTGCGCTAGTATTGAGTTTCGAACTCCTGCCTTTCAACATAACTAAGCTTCCAACATCCATTCTTAACCAAAGCACCCACCAATGTTTTTGTTTCTTGGGTGCTTTCTAACGTTTTGCTCCAAATTAAGGTTAATGGGTGCTTAAACACCCAAAAATTATATATAGGTTCGCCCATGCGATTCAGAATATGGAAAAAGTTATGAAATAATTGGATTGATACGTTGTTTCTATTTGTTTTTAAATTAATATCTCGTATTCTTTTCACAAAAACCAATAAAAAATATGAAAAACGTACTTCACAACTATGACTATGAATCTACTAGGTTGGATAAAAAAAGGATTAAGCCACTAACATTCAATTTCATGAAATGTAATTCTAGTAATGATGTCTTAACTAATGAATTGTATCATTAAGGATTGTAGTAAGTTAAGATGAATTTCGTTTGACAATAAACACTTTATGCTTTTAAAATTATTTTCTTTACTGTTACCTTGTAACATGTCCAAATTTTTGTCAAAAGATTGCGATGGACTCGATAAGGTTGATTTATGTGAATGTTTGAAACAACTAAAAGTTAAATGGATTGTCTTGTCATTTTGTTTAAAACTTACTTAATGAGAGAAACAATCATCAAAGTAGTCACACTATATTAAAATTATGACATTTTATTAATTGAGCAATTAAATATGCTGGACTAATATAAAATATATATTTTAAAAAGTGGACATATATTCTGTGTAATCAATAGAAACAATCTATGTATTAGACTAATGAGTCTGAATATTAGTTTTCAATTTTAAACTTTAGACCAAAAATCGTATTTTGAAAGTGGCCAACTTCTAAATACAAAGCCTCAAAAGTTGGCTATTAGTCTAAATCAGCCCAAACTTTGTGTTGAAAAACGCCCGTCAAGGGTACCATAAGAAAGCCCAACACCGAGCCCACACTGAACAGATCCAGTAACCAGCTCCAGCGTCATCAAACCAATCACAACTCCCAAACATCTAACGGATCTGTGAACCTTTCTAAGCTAAACATAAATCTGAAGTTATTTCCGCTACACACGCTTGAGTCTGAGTCTCTGAATTTTGCTTTTGATTTGTGAATTCGATTTCTCCGAATTCTAAACCCTAATAGTTCATTTTTTATCAAATCCGCGATCTTCAACTCATCTATTTCACTGCTACTTTAGCCAATGCAATGGTGGTTTGCAAATGTCGGAAGGTATTAGTTTCTATCTCTCTCTCTCTCTTGCGATAGACGAGTTGCTTGTTAGGATGATCAAACAATTTGTAATTGTGCGGAAAGTATTAGCACTCGATGAAATTCAGACAAAAGTGTGTTCTAAAAAAATTGATTCGGATCGGATGCTTATAATTGTTATTTCCATTGTACATTGTTCATTTTACTGAATTTCAGCTAGTATTTTTGTTAATTTATATCTGGATTGGTTAGATTTATCAACGAGGGCGGTAAAAACGTGTAATTTACTGACAATTGCATGCTTCATGGCCATTGAGGACTTTGCGCCGTGATGTTATCGTATGATTAATTGATTTGTCAATGTGTTGGCTTGCAGGCAACTAAGCTGTACTGTTTTGTGCACAAAGTCCCTGTTTGTGGAGAATGCATATGCTTTCCCGAGCATCGTATATGCGCGGTATTGTGTTTTCCTATTTTTACTATCGTCTTTGACCACATTAAGTTGCTTTAGTATTGGAAGGCAATTGCTTACAGTTATTTGTGCCAAGCTTACATCTGTATTTCCATTTGTATACATGTGAATTGTATTTATTGGTGATCTTATAGTAGGATGAGTGATAGAACCTTTGTTCAGATGATTACACTGATATCTGTATACATCAGAGGATCAGACAACCATATCTTTCAATTTCGATCCTAAAAAGGAAGTTGTCTGGAACTCTGGAATCATTAAATGCGAGATCCTTTTTATTTGATAGCATATGTGTTTGGTTAATCTTCAATGACCAGTAATCTCATGAAATAAGCTGTTTGAGAAATTAGTTTGAAGGGGTCAGAAGGATCTAATGCAATCAATCTTCTCATTAAGTTTTAACGATTTTGATCAAAGCCAGTACTATTTGCTGATTGAGTAGTCATTCTGACTTTATGATGTAATTGGTGATGTTGATCTTTTCACTTGATCCACTAACAAAGTTCATGAGATCAAGATATATACATTGCTGTTCACTTTTTTGTAGTAGTCAGGCATTGTGCACTAATGTTTATGAGACATGATGACTTTTATGTTCTTAATCTGGATTATGCTATCTACCTTCCTGCATTGTTTTAATTCATTTTTATTTTCTATAACATTCTTGTTGGGCTGTTGGAGGTCTGCTTGCCTTCTTCTGTCTTCCATCATTTTGTATTTCCTTTAAGAAATCCCAATTTCAGATCCGCACCTATTCAGAGTGGGTCATAGATGGAGAGTATGATTGGCCTCCAAAATGCTGCAGTTGTCACTCTGTGCTTGAAGAGGAAACTGATGCTGGGACTACACGGTTGGGTTGCTTGCGTATGTAATCTTGCTAATCCATTGCGATATATAAAATGTCTTCCCTTAATAAGTTGATAACTTCTCTTACAGTATAAGTTACTCCTGTGGTTGCTTTTGCAGATGTAATACATACAAATTGCTTGGTTTCACATATAAAATCGTTTCCTCCACACACTGCTCCAGCTGGCTATGTGTGTCCTTCATGTTCAACTTCGGTACAGTCTGCTATCCACAATTATCATTCAATTTATTTTATGTTGATCTTGTGCATAAGAAAGTGATTATGAAGAAAGTTCTCCAGAAGAAATGGATGGATCGAGGGCCCGCAGGGCTTTGGTCTAGTGGTAAGAGCGCAACTTGTGATGTGTGGGTTACGCGCACGTCATGGGTTTGAATCCTGTCGTAGAAAAAAGCCTGGTATTTAAGTGGAGAAGGGTAGAGGCACAAGCCCATTATCTACCAAGTTTGAACCTTGTGCCTTTGGTCCTCAGGGATTTCTTGGTTATAAAAAAAGATGATTATTTAAAAATTTGTTAAAAAACAACCATTTTGACATCATTAGAAACGTCCACTTTGGATATATTGGCATCAATGCTTACTGGTGTTTTGAAATTTTGATTTGCTCTGATGCATTATCTTTTTTTCTTAGTCACGTGCTCTGGTGTATTATCTTAAGCTTAATTTTGCTATATTAGTTTCTCAATCACGATTCATGTCCAGGAGGTGCTTTGTTAATGCAGATATGGCCTCCTAAAAGTGTTAAAGATTCAGGATCACGCCTTCATACAAAGTTGAAAGAAGCTATTATGCAGGTAGTGTGTTGTCAGTTGCAAGCAAGTGCCTTTATCCACTTTGGGTCATTTATTTATTGGATATTTTGCTTTATCATGACTATGGAGGTGCTTCTCTTTGTAGCTTGATTTGAGGATTTCATAAGATGTTAATTGGATTATCATGTAAATGAAAAATAGCATCTTGGCCCATGCATACTTCAATCTCCTCTTTAACTATGCCAAACTTTGTAAATGATTCTAGTAATGAATGTTTATGATTTTGTGTCTGTGCTTCTTTGATCTGAAGTAAATCACATGGAAGTAGCTTATGCCTTGTTGTGGACTATATAGATGCATCAAACAACCTGATAATGGATTTGATCCAGACCTTCATAATGCTGCTTAAACAACCTCCTTTCAATCTAGTTGGCTCCTTAAGGATCTTTCTCAACTTCTAATTGTCTCCTTGTTGAAGTGCACGTTTGCAAGGTTGTGACAGCTAAGGTGATTTCTTACCGAGATGATGACTGTTAAGCAATCAAAGCGTGATTTTATATCTCCTTCACCAATTGAAAGATGTTTCCTTGTAACTGTGTTTACTTTCTGGTCTTGGGGGTTTGTTTTAGTAGTTGCATATAACGACTATAGTTAGTTGTCTTGATAACATTTGGCACAGAGTAGTATCAGGTATCAAATAGGTTTTATCTTCTGAAGCATGTTAACCTCTTAATAAGGGTTGACAAATAATAGAGTGATAAATGCATAGTGGCTTTTGATTAGACAGGCACTGTCCTGCTGATGAGATGCACTTCATATATTATTTAAGTGGTTAAGGAAAACTGTCTTATGAAGAAGTCACATTTAAGTTGAAGTATAAACTGTGCTTGTCTGTTTAATTTTGTCCATCCATACCCTCGTTATTAACTTAATTTTCAGCTCTCTTTTGTTTTTCTTTTAAAATAGTATATCTCCTTTTTTGAACAATTTCTTGAGCGCACACAGTGTGTTTTGTCATTTGTGTGACTTGAAATGTTTACCATGCAAAATATTGTACTTCGGAGAAACTACTTTAGGTCATTTTTCAATATTTGGTTGGCATAGAGGTAGTTGTATGGTACGCGGGTGGTAAGTGGCGAGTATTAAAGGGTTTCAACAACAATGTTTGTGTGTTGGTTGAAGTAAGTGACATGGATTTAGACCTTATATTTGATTAGCCCATAAATATTACTCCCTCCGTTTCAAATTAGATGAGGTACTTTCCTTTTTAGCCTGTTCCAAAATAAATGACACATTTCTAAATTTGGAAATAACTCAACTTTAAACTCTTCATTTTACCTATTTTACCCTTAATGAGACTTTTATAACCACACAAATGTCATGGCCCCACAAAGCTTTTACCCCTTAAGCTTTTAAGACCATAAGTTTCAAAAGTCTTTTTTTTCTTTCTTAAACTCCGTGCCGAGTCAAACTACCTCAACTAAATTGAAACGGAGGGATTACAAGTCATTTTCTCACGTCACTGTTAGAATAAAACATCTTTAACAATTTACCTCAACCAACATTGGAAAAATGAACTTTCTAGCTTATCTTGGTTTTCCTGGAATATACTCTCCACATTTCACCATGTGTAGTACTAACTTCTTCATGTATGAAAATTCAAATTATATTCTGTTATATCTCTGTACCATCAGATTCATTTGCTTTCATGTGAACCTTCTATCTTCTGCAAATCAGATTGTGATTGTAGTAAGGATCACACTTGAATTTATTGTCCATTAGCTGATTGTAACTTGTTAGATGAATTCATTGTATCGTGTGCTATCTTTGCTATGGGATAATCTAACTATTTCATTTCCAAGTTAGGTGTCATAGTTCCTAATAAGATTTTCTTCTGAATTCTTTATCTTAAAAAAAGAAGATTTTCTTCTGAATTAGTCAGGTTTTTGCTTTCAACTTCTCTGGAGGGGGTTGGGAAAGAAGGAGAGTGAATCCATCTTGTAGCAAACAAACCAGTTGTGAATCCAGTGGCAGTCAAGGCCATACTGACCTTTTGCTGCTTTGCAGACTGGCCTGGAGAAGAATTTGTTTGGAAACCATCCAGTGACTCTGCCAGGAACAGAGCCTCGAGGTCCTCCACCGGCTTTTGCTTCTGATCCATTGAAGCATGTTTCAGCTGCTGGAAATTCTGAAGGATTAGCTGCAATTGCCGCAGGTTCTTCCAAACCCGCAAGCATGGACATTGTGGAGATAGATGGCCCCACTTCAGCACCTTCATCTATGTCTAATCACGAGTCCAATTTCATGAAAAGCACAAGTCCTTCTGGTGTAAGCAATTTTATTTCATGTTGCAAGCAGCGTATTACATACTTCAGATTTTGATTTTGTGTGTTGTTTTGGATTTTTCTTGCATCTTGTTCACAATGACACCCCTCGCAGCCTGGAGCCACCACACGAAAGACCGCAGTGCAAGTAGAAAGGCAAAACTCTGAAATTTCGTACTTTGCTGATGATGAAGATGGAAACCGGAAAAAGTACACGAAGAGAGGTGAGCTCTCTTCCTTTTCATAATGTGTATATTTGTCCTACGTGAGCTCCCATGAGTCAAATGAAAGAAAAAACTCCATTGCAATTTGCAACTAATACTTTTTCCTATGCCCTTGTTGTTGCTTGTATTTTTCTTGGATAGCACTTGGTATTCTGAAATTGTATCTAATGGTCTCAATTTGAAACTATTGGGACTTTTCTGAAAAGTGGGAAGTACGATTAACTACCTTTTTGTTCTCTGTATTTCTTGGAGCTTTTCTTGTCGAAGGAGGGAATGCAATTAGATTTCCCTCCGTTTGAAACCTTTAATTATATTTATGCAAGTCATGTTGTGATTTTGAGAGTTGTCGAACTAATTCTTTGAAAGAGAAATGAGGTGTACCTCCAAATGCACCAGTCCGTCTGTGCCACAATGTGATTGAATGTGTTAAAAGGGATAAGTTGAACCTAAAATCACTCAGAGTAAAGTTGTTTGAGAAGACATATAATCTGTCAGAGTCCATATGATCTTAGCAAAGAACATTATCAATATAAATGATATCAACTAGTTGGGGTTTAAGTTTAGTCGTCGTGGTGCGATTACATTAAGTCTGGGTACTTGTCAGGAGTCCTTTAATTTAGATAAAGAGTTGTATGTTAGTGTAAGGGTAAGCATGCAATTTAGCGAATTGTCAGCTTTGAAGAAAACATCACCTGTCTTGAAAGATAAATTACCGAGTATAAAATTGAGACGAACCCGAATAGAGCGGATTAGATATATACGATTAATGTACCCTACCCAACTGGTGTAGTAGTTGTCAAACTAATGTCTTTTATCAACAGGTTCATTTCGTCATAAGTTTCTGAGATCATTGCTCCCATTTTGGTCGAGTTCCTTACCAACTCTACCAGTAACTGCACCACCACGAAAAGATGCATCAAATACTGATGAAGTCACTGAAGGTCGTCAGCGCCATCATAAGTCTTCAAGAATGGATCCAAGAAAACTCCTCCTCATTATAGCAATCATGTAATGCTAACTCTGATTCTTGGTTTCCCCATTTTATTGCTCCCTTTCTTGATCAAATTTATTCTGTTGAATTCTGCTTCTTTACTGTACATAGCTGACACCCTAAGCTTACCTGTAGATTCAGGTCAAAGCTAGTTGTCAGATGAAAACGTAAAGGTTGTTTATGTTCATTATTATCATTTAGTTTTTGGTAGGCATGAAACTTCTCTACTTTCTTACGTGCAGGGCTTGCATGGCAACCATGGCTATCCTGTACTATAGAATTGCTCAGAGTGGTCTAGATGAGGAGCTGCCTGATAATGAATAGTGGTAAGTTTATGGCCATAAAGTCTTTGGTGGCCTGAATTATGGCTATACATCAGTTATCAACAGGACCGACAGAGTTGCTTATTCTTCTGCTGCTTGTACGCGCTCAGTCTTTGTTGTCATCATGTCACTGTTTTGGGTGGAACACAGAATTCTTGGTTGCCTGTGATTTATAGAGAACTTGTCTTATGACAACGATTAATGCCTTCCCAGCTCTCCTGTACCTCATTGAAAACCTTCTCTCTCTCCTCGCATTTCTTTTTCTTGTTTGTTTTGTTAGTTACTTCTGTTTGGAATTTAAATGGATTAACATAGTGAAATGAAATAATATCACCTCTTCTCATTGTTATCAATTAGATTGTGTTAATGACTTTGAAATTGATGAAATCATGTGAAGAATATGTAGAATCTGATCTAACAAGGATATGCAAGCCTGAGATCGTTACTATCATTTCTATCAGAATCGATAGACACTCTCTATCATGTTACTGACGTAAATATGTCAAGGAATGTTTTTGATATTTTGGAATAAGTATGTAGAGATGTTTTTAGCCTTTTCTGCAGGCCTGGACTCTCACATTAATAGGAACAGTCTCGTCCCAGGAGAAAACTTCTTTAGCAAAGCTTCATGCATGTTATTTGAAGGTTAAGAATCTTTTTTTAATTTCTTGCATCAATAATGAACTTCCACTTCTTGGGTGTACTTGAACTTCCAGATTACACTCCTGATAACTGTATAATGCTCTTTTCTTGTTCAACTTTCAAAGTTTCAACCATGTCAATAATGCCTGTTTGTAACCACTAGTCAACCGAATATGACATTGAATACACAGTCAGCTTTCATCAAGCTTTAGAAAATATGTGCAGTTATATTTTGCTCCAGGGCTGACATGAGCCCTCTCACTGCCACTCACCCTCCGGAGAAAAAAACAAACTGTTGAACGGGGTGGGACTTGGGGTGCCGGGATGGGTTGAGCTCTTGCAACTTAAGGGGAAGAGAGAGAAATGCGAATACAGAGAATGTCAGTAACGTGCCATACAAAACCAATGTGCATTGTCTAGTTCACTAGTTCATTCTGTAGAAGCAGGGAAGGAACGGAGAACTAAACTTTATCTGTTACAGGAAATGGATTATTATTCGTTTCGTTAGTCTGGATTATTTTCTCTTCCCCTTGAGCTATAGCTGATGCTGATAGTTCACTTTCTCTACCCCTTAAACTAGGCTATTAGGTCACGTCCTGGGGTAGGTTCAGTCATTTCTGAAGGCATCTTTACCCAGAATTCCAGTCCAGAGCCAAAAAAAAAAAAAAAAAACTACCAATAATAAGTTAATACCCTTACTTATAAAATGCTATCAAATTTGGTCAAAAAACCCCTTTCTATTACAAAATGGCCAACGCTTCCTTCTCTGTTTCTTTGCTTCTCTTCTACTTCCCAACCATTTACTATTTAGACTTCCAAAACTTGTTGACAGGCATGAGATCTCATTGTTTTTTGAAATGGTTTTGTTAGGGACCATATAGATTAAATTCTCTAATTTAGATTTACAACCCTACAGTTTATCCTCGCGGAGAACTCAGTTTTTGTTGGTCCTTTTGTTTTAGAGCATTTTCGCGTGCTAAAAGAATTGAGATGACTGAATAATGGCGAGATGATTCCTTCTCTGCTTCTCCGTGCTACTGCTTTAAAGTTTCTTTTAGTTCTCATCTTTTATTCTTTTATATATATATATATATATATAATTTTTTTTGGGGCCTTAGAATCGTTCTACTATTTGGGCCTTTAGCTTCTCCGTGCTAAAAAAGTTTACTTCCACTTAGTTTGTTGGTCATTTTAACCATTTACCTATTTTTTACCACAAAAAGTTACCAATTTTATACAATATTCAAAAAACATAGGGAGAAAGGATGTTTTCAATGGGTTTGATTAGAATCCATTGAAATACGGTTAAATTTCACAAATGGTCATATAACTATAATTTTTTTTCATCAAAGTCATATAACTTTGTTTTCTTACACAAAAATCATAAAACTTTTATTAACTCACACAAAAATCATAGTAATCGCAAAATATATTTTCTACTAGTATTTTCTAATTTTGTGGTTTTTATTTTTATTTTCTGTCTAATAAACAATAATAAAATTAAAATAGGAATGACCCAACCCGACCCGGACCACCCGACCCAATACTCATATGTATATTAAAATAATACGAAAAGTGAATAGTAAAACCTTCAAAACATGATTCTTCTATTTTTTATTTTCCTTTTCAAGATTTTTATTTAAATTGATAGCAATTTTATTTCAAGTGCTCTCTAATTATACGTTTTATTTCTTCTTTTTTTGTTGTCAGAATCTCATGCATTCCGAACTAAATTATTTTTGGGGGAAGAATTCCCTTCTAGTATTATTTTAATTTACGTATATGGATATTGGGCTAGGCTGGGTGGGGTCATTTCTATTTTAAGGAAAAAATATAAAATTAGCCGGTCGGCCGAACCTAATTGCATTTGCTAGCTAAATATATACGGAATGTGTATGTTATATGTATCACACACACACACATATATATATATATAAAATATTTTATCGGTTATTATTTTTAGGAGCGGCTAAAAATATATTCATATTTGTTTTATTTTAATTGGATAATTATTTATTAGACTGAAAATAAAAAATAAAAAACGCATAGTAAGAAAATAACACCGAAAAATTTATTTTCCGACCACTATGATTTTTGTGTGAGTTAGTGAAAGTTTTATGATTTTTGTGTGAGAAAACAAAATTATATGATTTTGGTAAAAAAAGTCAGTTATATGATTTTAGTGTGATAAAAAAAAGTTATATGACTTTGGTGAATAAAAGTCATAGTTATATGACCATTTTTGAAATTTACCCGTTGAAATAATACACGAGGCAGTATCCAAAATTTGAGTAAGATTAGAGGTGATTTGAATTGGTTTGGTTATTGACATCGAGCTAAAAAATTTCTCCGGGACACATGTATCTCATACAAAGGTATATATGGATACACGGTACATACATTTGAGATACAAAATGATAGACGAGAAATATATAAGTTGATACACATCTCATTTTTCTTCCATCACATCTTCTACTTCAAATTTGTTAAAGAACTATAGGAAACCTTTTTCTCATCACATAGTTTCTTCTTAACCATTTTTAAACTTTTGTTAAGATTTATATATTTTTAAACTTTTGTTAAGTTTCATATTTTTAAACTTTTATAAAGTTTCATTATAAGCAGTAAATTAGAATGTTCCTTTGACTTTGCCGAAGTGATTACAAGTGAGAAAATATTGCCTAAGATAGACATCACGCATCAATGCTAGAATTTTGACGATAGTCTCACCCCCGTGACTGGGTGATGGGTCTAAATTGGTGGTGAAGTTTAATAATTTGTGGAAACAAATGAATTAGAGAATCAGTTTTCTTCTTCATTTGGTAGTTGAAATTTTGCTAGTTTTCCGATTTGGGTATCTTAAAGGGCTTGAAGGCGTTGTTTGCCACAAAAAAAATTTGAAGCCAGTGAAAATCTCCGGTAATAACCTGAATGTAAACACCCATTTCATGTTGATGTGAGGGAGAAATGGGGAGGTAGACATAAGAGAGAAAGAAGCATATAAATAGTTATTTGGACTAATATTGGTAGCATTTTATGAGTTTGGACTAATATTCGTAGTTTTTTTGTTCTAGACTGACAAACTAGGTAGTTTTTCAAAGCTCTATGATATTCAAAATAGAAACTTTTCTTTGATTTCTTATTTAACAAATAGTAAAAAATCAGCTTCATCTAACGCTGTGAAAAAGGAACTGACTCTGCAGGTTGTGCGGGGTTGGATCGGCCCACCTTTTTCATGAGCCCTAAAATAGTCAGCCCAACACTATGCGAGCTGCGGGTTCTCGGGGCGGCTCACCGATTTTTAGAAATACTTATCATATTTGTAAAAGAGTAAATATCCTAAAGCCCGTCTAAATTATTACCTTTTTGTCAGGTTCCTATCTAAACTATTGCATGTCCCCAAAAAACCCCTGAACTATATCCTCCTTCGTATTAAAACTTCTTCGCTGCAAATAACTCGTGAAAGCTAGAAATATCCATCAAAATGGCCCACATGACAGTGTCTAACTGCTAATTAGCCCTATTTTTTTAATTTTGTTCTCATTTTTTTTATATTTCACCTTTCTCCTTTTCTCTATTTTTTCTCCTTTCTCCATTTCTCCATCTGGTTCTATCTGAAATTCTCCCTCTCTTGTTATTGAATTTCTCTTCAAGCTTCTGAAAAATATTTGCAGAAGAACAAGATGCATGAGAACAATGGAGTTTTCATAATGCAAGGGAGATGATCCACATAAAAATCCTATAATATGATAAGTATTTCTATAATGCAAGGGAGATGATCCACACTCGCCTATTTCTTTCGTGCGGCTCTTTCTTCTGTCCTCGAGTGGAAAGAAGTGGATGAAGTTGGTGACTATATTTGTTTTGGTAGGTGTGGGGAAGACTTGGAACTGACAGGGAATAACAACGATAAGAGAGATCGAATGACAAACAATAGTGGCCCGATTTTATACTAAACAACCTAAATTGAATACTTTGCAGAAGAAGAAAATCACTGTCTTGACGGAAATAACCCAATAACCTAAATCAAGGGTAATTGAGGAAAAATGAAGGGCACCGCGAAGCTTAATGGAGAAAATCGCTAGTGAGAGAAAGAGAAGTGATCACGCCCAACTATGCCTTATAAAAAGGACTAGCGGTCGCTGCAAATATATAATCCGGTTCAGTCCGGAGTCGAATCCCACAGGGAACTAACCTATTTACTACAACCTTTACCACTGCTAATGATAAGTTCAAACAATTTCCGGATGCAAGATTTTTTATGGATAATGAGTAGAATTTAGTTAACTAAGGAAAAATAGCAATGAAACTAGCAATAATCTAGAATGGAGTTGAATTCAGTGGTAAAATGGTCTAGGGTTATTGATTTTCCCAATTGTTGGATTAATTCCTGACACGTTAGCTATAATTTCGCCGTAACACCCCTATAAGAAATATGAGTTCTGGGTTACCACAATTATCTCTCGATCAATTACGATAATTTACTAGAAGCATTCTCTCGAACTACTCTAGCTAACAATTTATGCAACTCAGAATGATTCCACCAAAGCTTCGTTATCTCTAACCCTGCTTTTAAATCCAAGTAATTAATCTCTTAACTTACCCGAAAGTGGTGTTGTTCAACAATAATCTAACCAAGTGTTCTTTCTCAAGCAACACAAGATAACTAGACACGATTAATCAAGGGCCCTTTCAATTAATCACAAGACAA